TCCTCCTGACCCAATCCTTCCCACAACTGAGAGTAAACAGTCAAATTCTTTGTTCATAAATTATTTGGATTAGTTCTTTCTCTCCCACCCCTTCAGTGATTATATTTATGAACTCCATTTGAAATACAAGTGAATTAATTCATTTCGGTCCATTTTTAGCTCCTCCCTCCACTTCCCATCCCTGTTAATTTAATTTAACTTTTTCAGATACGTAGAACATTATTATGATTCCAAATGTGGAAATTATGTAAAAAGCTGTACACCAAGAAGTATCACCTTTTGCTGTATCCTTCTATCCAGTCACATCATCACTTAGGATCTTCCTTGTAGAAGAACAACTTCTCTGTTTTTTGGTTTGTTTGTCTTGTGTTTCTTTTTGTAAAGGTAAGCAGACTTACATCTCCTCCTTTCTTACACAAAACGTAGCATGCTGTAGACTGAGCTAGGCTTCCGAAGCACCCAAACCTCATCGATCTTCCACATCTTACACACCTGGTGGTTGCCTTCCCATTTTACCAACGAGGAAGCTGAAGCACCTCATCCATACTATTGCAGACTTTTGTGCCATGTTGATAAATAGTCTGTTTTTGGTGCCGTATAAGTTTGGATGAAGCTGATTAAGGTGCCCTAAATCACAAAACACGCAGATAGTGGCATGCAGCTTATGATCTATGTAATTGCTGCCGCTCAACTCCAGAGTCTTGGTTCTGAGAATACTCCCTCCTCTTCGTCTGGTTTTCAGGGCTGGGTTGTCCTTTTAGACTGAAATTTTTAGTATTCTTAGCATATCACACAAGGCTTCACACAAGTCAGGTGTGAAACCTGACTGGGAGGAGGTTTTGTTTTGTTTTTTTAATTAGGTGAAATTCATATAACAAAATTAACCATTTTAATGTATAAATGCAATGGTATTTATTATATTCCAGGTGTTGTGCAACCATCACCTCTGTCTGGTTCCAAAACATTTTAACCCCCGCCAAAGGAGACCCTGTAACCAAGAACCAATGACTTCCCCTAACCACTTCCCCCAGTGCCTGGCAACTGCCGGTCTGTTTTTGTCATTGCAGATTTATCTATTTTGCCATATTTCATGTAAGTGGAATCATAGAACATGTGATCTTTTCTACCTTCTTTCACGTGGCATGATGTTTTCAAGGTTGATCCATGTTATAGCATGTATCAGGACTTCATTGCTTTATATGGCTGACCAGTGTTCCGCTGTGTGGATTCACCACATTTTGTTTATTCATCCACCAGCTGATGGATATTCTGGAGGGTTTTGAGCAAAGTTGGAGAGAAGAGTGACTTGTACCTTGCCCTGTGCTGTGCTACTCATTAGTCATGTGACCGTAAATAAACTGCTAAACTGGCTTGCGCCTCACTTTTTCCTCATTTGTCAAATGAAGATAATAGTACTATCTTACTCTCCAAGTGACTGAAGGATTGAATAGATAGGACATGAGAAGTTGATAGTAGAGTACCTGGAAAATAGTGAGCCCTCATAAACATTAGCTCTTTTACTATAGAATCATAGGAGGAGAGGGATGATTGGGGAGGAGAGTACACAAATTTGTGTTATAGTGAGTATTTTAGTATGTGTCTGTTCTGTTGTAGCTGCTCAAGCCTTTGTGCTTTGTTGTTGTTATTATTTTTTTAAGTCCTGTTTCCTTTGCTTTGTGGTTTGGTGTTTCCCCCACCCCCCACCTCCAGTCACTGAACACGCGATTTTACATTTAGAAGCAGTTCACTAGACAGAATGTCTGTAGTGGAATGTTACATAATTCACATTTAGATTTGAAGAGCTCATTATAAAAAACCTGACACACTTCAGGAATATTAAATTACTGCAGATTGTGTGGAGCAAAGAAACATTATTGAAGCATTTCAAAATTCCAGGCGAGCCTGAATTTAACTGATAGGGTTTCACAGGTTTTGCTGGGGGAAAATGATTTGAGTTGTCACATGGTTTCTGGCCCTAGAGGACTTTAATCTCCTTAATTACAAAGAAACGAATTTCCTAAATAATTTGGAGTTACTTCACAGCATTTGCTCAACCTCTGGCTTTTAGAAAATTGAAAGGGGCTGCGAGGGTCCCAGCAATGTGCATTCCCTGTACTACAGCTTCCTTATTTAAGTTTTGATTTGAAATGATGCTGGTTTCCTTTTATGGTTGATATAGGGATGTACTTCAGAAGTTCACAAGTAATGCTTATAACACTTGAACACAATCACATTTTGTCAAACAGGTGATGCTGGAGATACCCGCAGAGTACGGAGAGGTGCTGTATTATGGCTTATAAAGTTTAAGAAGAGAAAGGGGCCCAAATCCAACCTGATTTTTAAAAAATCCAATCTACTTTTATACATTGACTTTTAAGAGTGCTTGAAATGATGTAAACCCCATATATTTCAGCTCATTTCTGTATTTTTGGATTAGGTACCTACTGTATACAAGACCGGCATGATGGAAAATAGCTTGGATTCTATCATTTCCTGCAATTTGTCTTTAGAAAGCAGATTTAACCTGCCTTAGTTTTTCTCCTCTGTGGGAGGATAGTAATATGAATTTGTGGTCACATATCAGCCGTATGACCTTGAACAATTAACATAGGAAACTATTAGTGTCTAATATTTACCATGTTCTTGCCAGGAAATGTGCTAGATGCTCTTCCAAGCATGTCGTACCTGTGATCAAACTCAATTTTCACAGCAGCTTTATGAAATTGATATTGTTATCCCATTGTACAGTTAGAGAAACTGAGACATAGGGTTGAGTAACTTCTTCAGTATCACGTTGCTTGTAAGTTGGTCAAACTATGAAGCTAGCCAAACATCAGATCATAATATAAGTAGGGAGAGATTCTATTTAATGGAGGGAATCTTTCTGCCTGAGATACTTCTTTGAACTGAAGCTTGAGGGAGTCAATAAAATGTCAAGGCAGACTTGAAAAGAAAGAGTCTATGAAAGGTAGTAGACAAGGGAAAATTGGGAAGATGGGAAAGTATAGTAGCACTCTAGCACTCTACTAGACTTGTGCTTCCTCTGTTAGTTTGGTTGGTAATTTAAAGCCTCCTTGCACTTGCCGGTCCTTCTACCTGAAACAGCAATTCATTTCTTTATTATACATGCATTTATTGAGTAGCTATTGGTCCTTTCCCTTATCACCCACTTGACAGAAGCATCATTCTTCAAGACCTCAGTGCAGAGCTTCTCCTCTGTGAAGCTTTATTGACTTCTGAGCAAAGATGAATAGTTGATGCTTCGTGCCTCAGTAAGCCCAGTGTTTGTCTGTTTTAGTTCCAGTCATGTGTACTGCTGTCCCTTAAATGACTGACACCTCTGCCGGACTGAGCTCCTTTGAGGACAGGAATCAGGCTTTAACTCTGTACTCTTGACCAGCGTAGTTACATGGTAAATGTCTGTTGACTCGAAGGAGCCAGGGTTTGCACTTGGCCCATAGTTGATATTTGTTGCAATGAAATGATAAATATTGTTAATAAAATTAATTCTGTTCATATATGACTGGGTTTAATGACTCTGTAATCTTTCATGGATTGTTATCTTTTGGGGGAGGGGGAGGTTAGAAAGGGGGTGAGGGCTAATGGCATGGTGTAGGTAGCTGACACAAAGCTGTGGCTAGAAGAATTTTTCATCTTCTATAGGTAATTATATGGACCCCATTCTAGGAAGATAATTTTTCATCTTCCTTAGTTGTAGCCTTAGATCCTCTAGTTCAAGCACCTTTCATTCAGCACTAGTGTCCTTTAAAAAAAAATAACTTGTTAAAAACAAATCAGCTATCTGTAATTTTATGTGGCTTTTATATTAGACCTTCTAGTTAAGCCATCTTTAAGTTGTCATGATTAAAAGATTTGTGTCAGTATCCATTTCGAGCTGAAACTGGCATTTAAGGTCACCCTTTTTAGATTAAACAGTTCTCGATCTTGGGATGAACTAAGAATTGGCTGCACAGTTTGAAGATTCGTTTCCAGTAGCTTGATCAGCTACGTGTGATCAGAGCCTTGGCAGCTAAGGCTATAGTTTAATATTATCTTAACATTATTTAAAAATAGATAACTAATGAAAGGTTTATTTTCAACTAAATGCTCAGATATAACCATCATCTAGATAGTCACTGGGAAAGGCTTTTGACTTGACACAGGGAATACATTCATTCAATTTAATGAAATCAAATGAGATAATGTATGTGAAGCAGTAGCTAAGGGCATAGTATATAGTAAGTGCATAGTAAATACTAGCTGTAATTGAAGTGGTTATATCATCATTATTATCATTATTATCTCTTCTTAGCAGTGTCTGAACTTAATAGTACCTAGCAGTGTGCAATGCATATTTATTAAAGAAAGAATGAATGAAATGTGTGTCTGCCTGCTTCTTTTCTTTTTCTTTCCACATTAAATGCTTGTCTGCTCTTATAGCTGGGGGAAAAGCTGACATAAAAATTGGGTTGCTGGAAAGTTTCTCAGTCCCATTTGTCACCTTACCCTTGGAGCCCAATTGTATGTCTCTGTCCCCTCTGATGCCTGCCAGTGGGGGACAGACCACAGGTCACTTCCCTATGATCTGCTTTAGCTGCCAAGGCTCTGATCAAGCTTGGCTGATGGATGGGTGCCCCGCTGTTGGAAACGTCTCCACGGGGCCACTCAGGAAATATGCCTTTGCTGTGTTTTCTGGGTGGCATCTAGTGCCTGAAAATAAGAAATATGGAAAACAAAGAGTTGGGTTTGGTCCTTCTTGAAAATTCAGAATTTCAAAGATCTATTTTGAGTTATTTAGTTTGAGAAACAGTTTTGCAGATAGGCCTCTCGTTTCCTTTGCTGTGAGCCCATCGATGACTTGATGAAATCATGTGAGCAGTCAGTACATGGAGACCAAGATTTTGCTGTTTTTCTGTGTCTGACAGTTCATTTTCTTCTCTAATTTTTGTTTTACTTCAAAAGGGTGATGATTCTGAATGTTCTCTTCCCTTGATTTGCAGCACTCGAAAGGAGTGAATGAAATGTGCAGCTCGGGGTGTCATTTCTGAAGGGAGGAGTTGTTCTCTTGGAGAGGAGTCCTCAATGAGCCTGGCCAAGGCCCGGGATCTGTGTGAAGTGGACTAAGGATTTAGTAGGATGTCAACTGAGACAGAACTTCAAGTAGCTGTGAAAACCAGCGCCAAGAAAGACTCCAGAAAGAAAGGTAGGTCTGAATTTGATCCTTTCTTAATGGCTACTTTCTCTGTGCAGCAGTGAGCTTTTATCTCTGGAATGATACACAGTATTGTCTTATTGATTGCGTATATATATATTTTTTAATAGTCTCCAGCCTTATTTGCTGTTTTTGTTTTTATTTTCTTTGTTGTTCTCAGTATAATATTCTAAAGGTTCTCCATTGTTCTTTGGGTAAAATCCAAAGCTCTTTTCATTACATATAAAGCCCTTCCAGATACACCTTCTACCCATCCCTCTGGCAACATCTCTGCCTAATATTCTACCCCTACCCCATTTAACCCTGTTTACCCTCCATGCATTCTATATATTGCAGTTCGCCTTTGAATATACCAGTGGTTCTCAAACTCCAAGGGCACCAGAATCACCTGGAAGGCTTGTTAAAACACAGATTACTGAGTCTCATCCCCAGAGTTTTTGGTTCCCAAGGTCTAGGATGGGACCCAAGAGTTTGCATTTATAACAAGTTCTCAGGTGATGCTGATGTTGTTGGTTCAGAGACCAGACTTTGAGAACCACTGGACTCTTATTAACCCAGCCTGAAATCCTTTTGTGGCTCTCCACTTTTTTCTAGACAAACTCCTACTAATTGCTCAGGTTTGAGCTTCGTGGGACTTCCTGGGGTTGTTGGCGGGGTTGGGGGGCGGGTCGTGTTTCTTACTCTCTAAATTCAGTTGGTTTCTTCTGTTTGTTTTGCTTCAGTGGCACTTTGTTATCATCTCACATTATTTGCCCCATGTTTTTGTTTGTCAACTATAGTATACATCCCTCCAGAACTGGGCCTCTTGTTCACCTTTTAACTCCCATACTTAGAAAGTGCTCAACACAGGGAAGGCACATAGATATCTGGTAATGAAGACTGGCACGCATAGTGTGTTAATAAAATAATTCTATCACTTTTCATGTTTTCTGAAGAATTTGGTTCTATGGCTTTGCGACCTTGCCTTTCAGTAAGTGTGTCGCCCTATTGTAATTGGATGTAAGCAACTTCTTGCTGTGTGTGTGTGTGTGTGTGTTTTCTCCCAGTGGTTTTGGCTCTTCCCTGCCCTCGCCCCTAGTCTTCTCAGCTTCATGGAGGAGGATTAATAGAGCTCTCTTTCAGGTCTAGAAATCTGTCAATGTGGGCTTGCAAACCCAGATGCCCTTGGTTGCTTTGTGTAGGCAGTGATTTGTTCGAGACATCGCTGTGCCTGCCCAGTCATGTTTTGTGATGACATTTGTCTGACACTCTATAGGAAGCAAGGGACATAAATGTAATACATAGGCAGCTTTTGGACAGCTACAACCCCAGGAAGAACTGTAAATTTTGCTTTAGATGTTTATTTGAAACACAAATATTTTGGAAGCCGTCTGTTTCATTCCCTAATACTTAATCTAAACCTTGCATTGTTTTTTGCATCGTAGTATAAGAATAATAGAGGGAAAACAAGTGGGTGACCAGATCTTGGGAGAACTGCTACATGGGGGAAAAAAAAATGCAGAGCCCGATATGTACTAGAATTCAAATCCTTTTTCAGTGGGAACTGACAAGTTATATTTTTGCTTCAAATTTAACCTTTCCACTAAACTTGTGCTCTTGAATGCTTAATGCATTAAAAATTGTATCTTGGTGCACATCTTTTCATTCTTAATTTTAACATGAAAAACCAGAAGTATTCTAAAGAGGATTCAGGTTTTCAGAACATTGGCTTGGTTGAGGATTTGGAATGGAAGCGTGAAGGTGACCTTTTTAGATCCTCCTCATCTTCACATTCCAAGAAGCTCTAAAACCAGCACAATACATATGCAAGGAGTGTCCTCTAGTGAATAGTTAATACCATGGTGTCTGGGCAGGTTGATCTGGGTCAGATTCTGCTCTACCATTTCCAAACCATGTGACTTTAGAATATTACTTAACTCTCTGAGCCTCAGTTTCCTCTCCTATAGAATGAGAAAATAATATCACAAGCCTGAAAGCCTCACTATGAAGATTAATTGAAATAAGGCAAATAAAACACTCAGCGTAGTAGTTGGCGAATATTAAAGGCTCAAAAAGTTTAGCTTTCTTTCTCCTTTTCCTCTTTTTCCTCCCCCTTCCTCCTTGCCTCTTCTTATCCCTTCTCTTTCTCATCATCTTTCTTCATTTCCCTCATCTCCCTTCTTTTCTTTATTTCTCTTATCCCGTTTCTAACCCCTTCCATTTCTTTCTCTTTATCTTCATCATCATCATCTTCACTCTTACATTGTTTTCTCTTATCCCATCGCAGAACCAAGGAGATCTTAACAGGTATATAGCTGATTTGTCCCAGAGCAAGATTTTTAAAATTGTTTGTAATTATGCAACAGTGATAAACCATCTTTATTCTCTATATCCGTGTCTGGCCCAAGGCATTGTGAAAGCACACTCATACATTAAAGTGAGAGAGGGAATGTACTGATAACAGGATTAATTCATTTTTTGTTCTTCGGTTTTGACTATGGAATAGTAAGTATTAAACAAATGTTGGTAACTGGGCCAAGATAAGTAGAACGTTGAAAGAAAAGAAACTGTTTCTATATTGATCTTGAATCTTGAGTATAATTATAGTGCTAAACTCTTCTATTAATATTCTCTTAGCTCCCCTTTGATTTTCTGTGGAGGATCATATAAACTTGTATGTTCGTGTCTCACTCTGCAGTCCTTAAGTACTGCTTTTTCTTGTTTTATTGCATTGGTGAGGTCTGTCAGTAGGTATCGTTATCTTGTCCTTAAATTAATGGAAATCTTCTAAATTACATGTGTGATATTTAAGTTTTCACTTAAGATTCTTTATTAGTTCCCCTTCATTTATTTTTCTCCAGGAATTATGTTTTTAAATCCTGAATTTGCTTGTTGAATTGGATCATATGCTTTTTTATGTTTATTTCAATATGTATTTTTCCTATTTTAATTTATCTTGTGATGAATTTCACTGATAGGTTTTCTAACCTTTATTCGTGAAGTAAATTCTTCTTGTTCATGATATATTATTTTCTGTATTGGTTTCTATATATGGATTTGATTTGTTGATAGTTTACTTAGGATTTTGATATCTATATTCGTCAATGAGATTTATATATAACTTTCTTTTCTTGAACAGTCTCTGCACCAGATATTAGTCAAAGTTTATAACCTCATATAACACTTTGGTAGTAAGGAAACACTGAATAATATTTAGGCCTCTTTCTGGAAGAATATATACTTTTATTTTTCGGAGGAATTTCATTTGACTTTTTAAAAAGCTATATATGCTTATTAGTGAAAATTAGAAAAGACAAAGTAAGCACACATAATAATCCCATCAATCAAAAGTAACTAATATTAACATTCTAAGTTACTTCCTTCTGAACTGACTTTTCAGGATAATATATGCTTGTGATCATACTATTCATATAATTTTATATTCTGCTTTTATTTATGACATTATATCATAAGTATACTTTTCATATTTTCACATGATATTACAGACTGCAAGAGTTTTTCCCCCCTTGGCAAGATTTAGATAGTTCCCATGAAAGATGTTTCTTATAAAGAATACCTCACAGTGTGGGTGATCTATTGTGAGAAAAAGTAGCATAAAGAAAGTTAAGAGGTACTTTAGAATTTCTCACAAACCTATTATCTAACCGAGGCCATTGAAAGCAAGTCAGACAGTTTTAAACAGAAGTCACACAGGGGCATATTTCCCCATACAATGAATTTCTAGACCGGCCATGTATGAGGCATAACTAGAGTATTCACAATTCAAATGAGGGAGGGATGAAAGTAGTGAGAAATGAAGTTGTCTTCTTCATTTTTATTGGATTGCGTCACTGTCACTACACACACAGCTGGTCAAACAATGCACATTCCAGGAAGCAGATGGAATGTGATAGGGGCTGGAGGAACAGAATGTATATTTTTAGGTTTGTTACCTGACATCAAAAGAGAGAACAGCTGACACACTTCTTATTACTTGTCATCCCAGCTGGGATTAAGCCACCCAGTAGAAGACTGTGGTAGAGGAATGGGTCCCGTGATGAGCAGATGCAGACACTTCTGGGGGCAGTGCCTGGAGTTTTTCAGTCAGCACCATCTGGCAGCTTAGAGTAGTAGAAAAAGCACTAACTTTGAAGCTGGACACACCTGGGTTTTAATATTAACTCTTCTCCTTATCTGCTGTGTAACCAAAGATGGGTTTTTTAGCCTCTTTGAGCCTCATATTTAAAGGTGCGTGCGTGCGTGCGTGCGTGTGTGTGTGTGTGTGTGTGTGTGTGTGTGTGTAATACTTGTCATCAGAATGGCAAGGGAGATATCATGCAAGGGGCCAGCTTGGAATCTGCACCATGGCAGCCTCTTGGTCAGTGCTAGCTTTTCCATCCTCTTCTTTCTGAGATTACAGTTCAATATTATTTCCCGATTTTTGAGAAACACCTAGAAATAAGCATATTTACTTTCCTTGTATTAGAGCCATAACTAAGGAACACATTATTACTTCCTTATTATTTGCTCTTGGAAAGATGTGGCTCTAAGAATTGAGGCCCTGATGGGATCCAAGAGAAGCTGGTAGTCATGGGGCAGCTGCCTTGGCTTAGGAGTGACACCAGACTGCTCTTGAACCCTGGCCGTGTGTCTCAGTAGCTCAGTAGCTGTGAGAACTTTTGGGAGGTTGCGTAGAAAATTCTAGTCAGTTTTGATTAAGGAATGATTTCAGTAATTCCATACTCAGGTTCCTGACCCCTGAACTGCTCAGTTAGCCCTGGAAAATAACCTGCGTTAATGGTGGCCTACCGCTTAAGGAGCTTGTAAGCTCGGTTGTATTCATTATCCTATTGGATCTTAGGAGCCTGGGAGATTAATTTTTTGAAAAGTCTTTTTATCAGGCCTGTGTGCAGAGTGGCTGTTTCATCGCTTCTCCCTGCTGCTCTTGTCCTGCAGGGGAGGCAGCCTGAGGTGAGCCAGCACACTGAATGTGTGTGCCCACCACTCTGTCA